CTGCATATAGAGCACCACCTTTAGGGGCAGAGTATTTAGATGCCAGGTGGTGTGAAATAAGACCCTGGTCTATGGTGGATCTTCCCAGCCTAATTCCGGCTTGTTCCTCTGAATGATCAGAAAAGATGTTGGATTGTTGGGTGCCAGCCTCTAAATTCAGTATACATGCAATGAGGAATGTAAGTGTATGGGGTATGCGTGTTGTTTGTTGTTTAGTCGTTAAGTCGTGTCCGATTCTTCGTGACCCCATGGACCAGAGCATGCCAGGCCCTTCTGTCTTCCACTGCCTCCTGGAGTTGGGTCAAATTCATGTTGGTAGCTTGGATGACACTGTCCAACCATCTCATCCTCTGCCGTCCCCTTCTCCTCTTGACCTCACACTTTCCCAACATCAGGGCCTTTTCCAGGGAGTCTTCTCTTCTCATGAGATGGCCAAAGTACTGGAGCCTCAGCTTCAGGATCTGTCCTTCCAGTGAGCACTCAGGGTTGATTTCCTTTAGAATGGATAGATTTGTTCTCCTTATAGGCAGGAAAGGAGAGAGAGGGGATGGAACACCTTCTAAACAGAACATGTACATGTTCACAATAAGATGTCACCCCTGTTTGCTGGAACAGAATATTTCTCCTTCTCTCTTTTCTTCATCCACATTATCAAGCCTTCTCTTGGGATTCTCTAGGATAAAAATGTACTTGCAGCTAACAGGCTAGTTCCTTTGTTGCTCTCACTCCTCAAACTGATGTCAGGTATCTCAGATTAAGCTTCAGCAGCCAGTCATTTAGCTCTGAAATAAAATGAGAACTTGGGATGTCTGAAGAAGCTGAATTATAAGATATTAAATTTACATTTGCATGGTGTAAAAAAGTTTAAGTGTTTCTTAGTTAAATGTGATGGTCAGATTGCAGGCTAATATTTAAAAAGTACGATCATTTTGGCACCTCTTCTCTATATTTACATGGCAAAATCCAATTTCTAATTTCTACAGCCTTTGAGGCTCAGTTTTGCTTCATTTAAAAAGTATATTTCAAAAAGAAAAGGAAATAATTTACTGAAGTTGCTTCACATTGAGGTTTCTTCTCAAACCCTAAGTTTTCCATTAGTCTCCAGTGCTGTTGAGGTGAACCAGGGTGCTTTGGAAAAGCTGATTTGCAGAGTGTACAGCTGTTCCGTCTCCTCACTTAGTAGTGTTAATTGCACATAATGCTTCACTTAGAATTATATATTTTCTTTTTAGTACTATTGAGTGCTCAATACTTTCCATCATGTCAATTAAAATTGACTGCTTCCATTCCCCTAACCTCTGAAGATGATTCATAGTTGAATTGCAACTCATTTCAGTAACTGGAAACCAACAGGGAGAAAACATCTCCAATGTCAGAATTGATAGTATTTTCTTCCTGCATTGGGATCAATGTATTATATTTCATTTAGCTTCTAACAAACAGAATGTAACGATTACAGTAAGTTAGAGAGTATGGGACAAAATTACTACTGCCTGTATCTTATCTAAGTCACCCCATTTTCTCTCTCTCTCTCTCTCTCTCTCTCTCTCTCTCTCTCACTCACTCACACACACACACACACACACAGATTCACACATTTTTCAACAGTATATGCACAGCCATTATCCTATGTATAAACCAGTGGTTCTCAACCTTGAGTGTCCAGATGTTCTTGAACTAAATCTCCCAGAAGCCTTCACCACTAGTTGTGCTGGTCAGGATTTCTGGGAGTTCTAGTCCAAGATCATCTGGGGACCCAAGTCTGGAAACCACTGGGAAATATTTACATTGAGAGGAGAATGCTAATTTATGAAATATCAAACCAAACCAGAACAGTTTGCCAAACAGAGCAAATCTAAATTCCTCCATCTGCTTTTTTGTCAATTAAGAATGGCAGTTTGGAAGATCAGCTGCCACTAGGCATACAAACTCCCTGATTTAAACAGGTATAAAGGAGATAATTATCATAACTCACTTGAAAAACAATGCACTGCAATTTTATGCATGAATTGTGCATTCTTTCTTCGAGGTCTCAAATGACTACAATTCTTAGACTTCTCTGGTTGGCAGCCATGATAGTTATAGAATTCTGAAAATTGCTTAGAAATGTGTAGGGATGTTACAGGAGTGTGTTCTCTAGTGCTGCTGTTAGCCAACCACTATTCATATCAGTTGATTTACAGAGGATTCCTTTGCAGGCTTACTGGATGTTAACTGTTGACACAAAGGCAGGTGGTACAGCAAGCATGAGGTTGTAGTCCTTGGTATCTTGCGTTCCAAGCGAACAGTTTTTAAGCTAGTGCTCCTCATTTCACATGGATGATTTGTGTTTTTATTTTGTAAAGCATCAGGCAATGACATAACCTTTTCAACACAAAAACTGAACAAATAGAAAATCAGAACAGAAAAAGTTATTTTCTCCAGGATTTGAATGATTAAAAAAAGGCATGGGGACCCTAAATGAATTCACAATATTCATCAACTCAGCCAAATATTTAGCCATATCACAGCATAATCAAAGTACCTCAAGGTTGCCCAGCTTTGCACCAAAACATCAGATTATGGGATTTATTACAAAACTGTAAATTTTGAAATTAGAGATGGGCATGAATTAAAAAAACAAATCACTAAATACATTCCAAAAAAACTGTTAATTCGTTGATTCCTATTCATATGAATTAATGCCCGCAACAAGTATCAACAAATGTTTAGCAATTTTTGATTAACCAATTTGTTAATCCCCCCCCCCCAGAACCTAGGGACACTAAAATCACAGGGAAACTTCATCTGACTCTCCTCTACAATCTCTCCAAGTCTGGTGAAGATTGGATTTCAGATGTCTGTTATACACCCACAAATAGGGCCACAAAGGGAAGCTCCCTCCAGGCACTAAAACCACAGAGAAGCTTCTACTGACTCTTCTCTACAATCCCTCCAAGTTTGGTGAAGACTGGGTTGAAATTAAAGGTCAATAAATGACATCTACCCAATTTATAGTGGACAAATTTGCTACTAGACTCTGAAGAGCTACTTAAGAATCTCTTCTAGTAGAATTTAGCTTGAATAACACATCCTATGCCATATCAACCATATCCCGCCAACCTAGCGGTTCAAAAGCATACAGATGCAAGTAGATAAATAGGGACCACCTTGGTGGGAAGGTAACAGCGTTCCGTGTCTAAGTCGCACTGGCCATGTGACCACGGAAGATTGTCTTCAGACAAAACGCTGGCTCTATGGCTTGGAAACGGGGATGAGCACCGCCCTCTAGAGTCGAACACGACTGGACAAAAATCGTCAAGGGGAACTTTTACCTTTACGCCATATCAAATGTTTTTTAAAACTCAATTTTAAAAATCAGTTTTAAAAGACATTTGTCACCAGCTTGCAAGAGGTGCTGCAAAACTTAAATTTTCTCAAATTATTTAAGGCACTAGGCTGAAGAATCAAGAGTCACTGTCTTAACATACAGTCTCTTAAATTATTGTGAAACTAGTCCATTTGCCTTGACTGGGTACTTTGCCTATTTTTGCCACTGGTATATCAACAGAGGAGGTCCATAGTACTTCCATAAGAATTTCAGCTAGAGAAAAATTTTGGCTCCCCCACCTTTTCTCCTATTCTTCCTACTCGCTGGATTCCTCACCTACCAATGTATCACTACCACTTCTTAAACACTCCCAGTCTCCTTTGAAAACTCCTAAATGTAAGTTGCAAGTGGAAGTTAGTGAGGAGCTTATGGGGCTGGAATCCCAGAAAGAAAAGAAAAAAGATCAATTCTGGGAGATAGCTGGTATGTAAGACAAAATTACCCCAAGGGTCCTAGAGGTGGCATTACCCTCCATCAGTGTTTTTTCTAGAGTGCATTACTTCTTTCCCCAACATGGCAGCCAATGGAGACAAGCTTCAATATACCCTATTATTCTTGGCTTTGTTTCCTAGCTACACAAAGCTGTCATTTGGGTCTGCAGGAGTGGACGCTTTCAAACTGGCTTAAAAATTAGAGTAACCATTTCCCAATTACTGCTTTTCAGAACTGGTTTAGTTTATATCTTGTGTGGCTAGTTTTCCAAGAGCATATAGATTTTTAAAAATAAACAAAAATGCCATAAACTGAGGAAGAAACTAGACACAGTGTCCTTTTTCAAGATAAAATCATGTGACATTATCAGATGGTAGTGCACTTGGTACAGGTGTGTTTGCTAATCCCATGCATATTTATTCAAGCCTATTAAAATTTCCACTAAATTCAGATATGCACAGGCTGCTGGAGCCTTAATCTGATTTAAGGGGTAATAGGAGAAAACCTATACCCAAGACACATAAAGAAAATCCCCCAAGCCATTTGAAAACTTGTTTGTTTTTTAGAAAAGTGTGCATATACAATCAAGTGAAGCTTAAATATCCAGACAGGTTTAAGTCAGCTTAATGAACAAAAAAACAATGAACAAAAAAGGCAAGCAAGTACATGAAGTGCTGAATTTCCATACATTTAACAAGTATGTCATATTTACAGGGAATGCCCATTATACTCTTAAATTCAGAATATGACCTTAAAACAAACAAAAAGACTATAATTTCCTATTGCATAAATTGCAACATTGTGTGTTCAAGAAGTATGTTTCATTTAAATATTTTAATATAAAAATACATAGAAAGCAGTATATTACTGAGCAATGACCAAGAGAAACTTAACACCCAGGAGTTCATTTGATATCAGTTACTGCAACATGGCCATCATTTCTTCATACAATGTAAATGCAATGTTCAGTTTACGAGCTGCCCATTGCAGATGGTAGAAAAACATCACAACTTCTCTTTTTTTCAAGAAAATGTATAGCCTGGCTATAAATCTGTAGAGAAGATATACTTCTGTGGCATGCTCCACTGCGATTCAGAGGGTCAGCTTTGCCCAGAAGTCTTTCTGGCCTCAATATAGACCAACACAACTTTTCTTCAATTAATAAGTATCAAGTTATCATCGCTCTTCTGTCTGCAGAAAAGAGGGGAAAAATTGCCATTTCAAACCAGCAATAGAATACAGTATAAGCAGGCTAGTGGGTGTTATGAGAAGCCTGGCTGAAGCTTTAAACTTGATGGCAGCTGGTCTCTTAAGTTTTCAACTACTCCCAAAACCCTAATCATATAAAAGCATTGCTCCTACTTTGGTATCCCTCCATACACCTGCACTGCTGCTCCGATTCTCTCTACATCTCACAAATATTATCCTAAGTCTAAAAAAATACAATACAGGAAAGGAAGGAAGCTGTCTCACATCATGTTCCAGGTTACTTCCACAACACACTGGGATGCTTCTGGAGATTTTTATTATTGTTTTTATAGAGACTGCTATAGCACCATAGGAAGAGCCATAAACTGTCTCCAGTCAGGTTATAATCTAGTACTTCTAGAATAATCTCAGCCAGAAGTAATGATGAGGTTGACTTAGCACTGGGCAAGATGTATTTCCTAGATAAGCTTGTCAATTCTAACTTTCAGTTCTAGACTACCACATACATGCTCAGTGTCAGCTAGCCACTACTGCACTTAAAGACACTGAAATGGAAAAGTAGTAATAGAAACTAGTAAACAATAGCTTCAAACTTTAAGGTCATTTCAGTTCACACAGAGGGAATGGGAACTTGCTTGGGAGATATTGCTTCTTCAGGACACTCTACCACGAGAGCGACGATTCAGCCAGAAGAGTGATCTAGTGTAAAAAACAAATAAATTGTGAAGGGAAAACTATAGAACTACATTGATGGAGCAGAAATTCAAGCATCTTCATAATGTGTCCTTGAAGTATAATTAATGTGCAGGGGGAGGGGTTGATCTTTTTCATTTACATTCTTATCATGTATATATTTAACTTAATTTTCCCTTCACAATTTATTTGTTTTTTACACTAGATCACTCTTCTGGCTAAATCGTCGCTCTGTGTGGTTTCAGCAAGCAAAGATTTCAAGATGTTAGTAAGCGAAGATATTTGCTCCATTAAGTGTGGAACAAATTATACTTTGTATATAAGTTAAGTGTATCCACTAGCAGACTCCAAGCCTGAAAAAAAATTACTAGTCATTAGTCATTTCCAAAAGTCATTTCCTGATGGTAAGTACATCAACAGAAAACAAACAAGCCTGTCTCTGACAGAAGTTCTATAAATGTTCCTGTTTGTTCCCCATCACAGACTCCCTAAACAACCAACATTACTGTATAAGCTCTCTAGGAGACCTACAGACTGGACAGAAACAACAAAACAGCATACCAACCTCCTGCAGCAACAGAAACTTAAGGACCGCTCTGGTCCACTGCAGTATTCTTCACTGCTGCATTCTTTTAGGAATTCATGAAGATCAGTAACTGGGGATCCAATCTGCTGATATTTCTGAAAGAGGAGTTTTGGGAAGCAGTCTATTTAGGAAAGTGTTCTTTTCCGGTTAAGCCAGTCCCTGTTGCCTACAGTCTTCCCAGCCTCTATACAGTGGAGGGGTAAGACCAAAATGTCATATTTGTAGGGTCTGCAAGTTTCAAGTATACTGAGTACTTGAATCGTATGCTGGGTGATGTTTTACACTATACTGCTGGGAATGACAATAATATTCTCTCCTCCTCTTCATGATAAAGCGCAAATATTCTTATGCTTGCTTAACAAATACCATGAACATATTATTGTGGCTTAGCTTGTTCCCTTCTGGAGTTTCATTATTAAACTACTTCAATAAAACATGAGCTCTACCTAAAGAATCATCAGAGCACAGAAGCGACCAGAATCTCCCAAATTTGGAAATCTTCATATATTTTTATGACCCAAATAGGACTGTCCACAGGATCCTTCCCTCCACCTTAGTGCACAACTTCATGCTTTGACGCCCAGTCAAATAACCCTACCACTGCTCAGTTATAGATAGCTAGCTTGAGCAAATGTCATTATACTCATCATTTTTTTAATGTTAACTTCTCAGGCTCTGCCTTAGAAAAGTTATTATGCATTACTTGGACCATAAAACTTTGAAGATTTGAAACTTATCATCTGTGCAGGAAAAAAACATCATGTGTCAAAGAACTGACTGAGAATATGCACCTATATCAGAAAACAATAAAGGCTGAAAATCTTGATTCAAAAACAGAAACAAACACAAACAAAACAATAGTTAAAACCACCTAGCTACAAATATGGAAAGATTCAATATCAGTCACAGAAAAGAGGCAACCCAGGCAAGAAGCACCATAACTAATTAAAACAAATTCAGTAGAATCAATTTTCAAAAACTTTATTTTAATTTTCAAAACCCATTTTAAGCCCCAAGAATTTTGAAACATTTTAATGTGAACTACAGTTCACAACAAAGAATTTTCTTGAACCCTATTGATGGTTTAGTATTCTTAATGAAAATGGACACAGAACACAGCATGTTTACCTTTATGGTGTCATAAGCATCTGTAATCAGTGCAATAAAAAGGCTGAGGATCATATATATGAAAAGGCTAATGAAGGAATACAGGTACAATCGACTGAAGAGCCACACTAATGTACTTTTCTGCTGGATCTGAGCAAATGTAGCAAACATGTCATCGCCATTGACCAAAGAAAACAAACACTCTGCGACTGTGTTCAGATCCTCAAACTAGAAAACATGGAACACAACAGACATCAACAACAATTACCATGACACAGTGGAAGAATCAAGTGGCCCTGAATCAAGAAGAGCCCTATCTCTTCTGTTGCTGCATTCTTCAGTTTCAACACTGGGCCTAAAGGGTCTTGTTCACACATTGGCTCCATATGCAAACAAAAACCCAGATTTTCCAGTGTTCTTACTCCTGTGTGGAACCTACACATGGACAAGGAACACTTCCTCTTCAGACTTGGCACTGAAACAGTGAAGAATGCCATGGGGGAGAGGACAGGTATTTTCCTCTAAAGATATTCATGGTGCTGTATTTATAGTGCCTGAATCTGGCTTCAGGGTAATGCAATGCCCCCATTTCTAAAAATTCTTGTTGGCCAGGTTATACTAACTTTTTTATTTGCTAGTTTTGTATTTTTGTGTATTTTTGTATTTTAGAGAGAGAGAGAGAGAGAGAGAGAGAGAGAGTTTGTGTAAAAGAATTTTTTAAAAAGAGAGAACAAAGCATAGTACCCACACATAGCTGTTACCAGAGAGAGGTTAGTTGCCAAAGGACTGTTTGAAAGTGCCTCTTACAATGCACAAACAGTTGCAATCTTAATCGAAACAAGGAAAGTTTTGCATGCATGTGTACATATACACTCTCCCAGAGTTTTCCCTTGCTCAGTGGAATTCTTCAGGTCCCTGCTTATAACATTTGGATGTGAATGGAATTGTGATCACAAAACGATGGTCTAAATGGGGGAATTTCGCTTAGCGATGATCGGTTCCCTGCTTCGGGAACCGATTTTCGCTTTACGACAATCAAAAACAGGTGATCGTCAGGTTTTCAAAATGGCCACCGGGTGCTTAAAATGGCTCCCCGCTGTGTGTAGGGACAGCTTCCTCGCTATAAAGGCAGCAAAAATGGACGCCGTATGGAGGATCTTCGCTGGACGGTGAGGTTTTACCCCACTGGAATGCATTGAACGGGTTTCAAGGTGTTTCAATAGGGTTTTTTATTTCGTTTTACGATGTTTTCGCTTAACGGTGATTTTCCTGGAATGGATTATCGTCATTAAGCGAGGCACCACTGTACCAGCGTGTTAGCACTGCCCACAGTTTTAATAGGTTCACATTTAGACTACACTTTGAGGCATTCTGAACGGAAGAAGATAAGAAGGACCAACTGTAAGAACTGGTCTATTAAATTTCTAGTACCTCAAGTGAGTGAAGAAACTGTGCTTAGATTTCACTGACTAGTATGGTGTAATGCTGCCCCCTTGTGGGCCAAAATTATCTATGAGATTAATTTTCCACCTGAATCACAAGCAAAGGTGATGATCACATCATTAAGTCAGCAAAGAAAGATGCTTAACAAAACCAAAACAAACATTCAAAGTTATTTTTCCTTCAGATATATGTATATTGGATTCTGAGTGCAACATCAAGCATCTAATGGAATGCTGTGGGAGCAATGAGACAGATAGAGGACATCCTCACACATTCATCTGCCTCTAAATTACAATTTACATACTATGCCCTTTTTATATTATATCCTAGTATAATAACAAACTCAGTTCACAATAAAGTAGGTAAACCTTGCCCCCTGGCTCTACATACCTTTTCATGATATGGTCCTATAACAATCCAGCCACAGAAAGTATAGCCAAGATATATCATTCCAGCACAGCAACAGAACCGTAAAACTTTGGGCAAGGATGCTTGCATTGTTAAAATTAGCACCTAGGATAGGAGAGGAAGGGAAACAGATATGTCATTCCCAAGAAAAAAAGGCCACACCACTGAATTCTGAGTATCTGACTCTAGAGCTTACGTTGTAAGTCTGGAAGTATCCCAAATACCGAATGACTCCTGCCCAAACAAACAGAGTAGATGTACCAAGGAAAATGCTGCAAACATCATAGCTCGTAAGATTCTAGAAGAGAGGAGAAATGTTAAACAACTCAAACAGATTTACAAGTTAAGAGATTCCTCTTGAGATCACAAATGAGATTTGGCCATTTTGGATCTCCACACCAAAACAGGACCAAATTATTAAAAGACTTTAAGGCTCACCTTGGCTTTTATTTCCATTTTCATTATGGACCCAATGATAGTCATCATATCGCTAACAATCACCAGGACATACCACCCATTTATGAATTCTAGGCGGTCTGCACTGCACACGTGGCGCTTATATTTCTCCAGGAAGAAATTCACAAATCTCTGTTTCAAACATCAAAAAGGGGAATTGTTAGGAAAGTTCTGCTTTTTTGGTTCATTACATACAGAATAACAAATCCAACAAGAAATAATCACAAATACTTTTCTAGAACATGTACACAGGGAATATAAAATGGATAGGATCCTATTGGAAACTAAGTTTCATTCTAACACCTCTTATAATGTGTCAGATCCAAATGATCCTTATGACCAATTAAGTAGACACACAGTCCTATCAGAGTAAACATTGTGCCTGATTACAGATTGCAGTTCTGGGAACCAGCTGTACTTTTTAAAGAGCTGTGATGACTTTTTGCAACTGTTTATTATAAGAAAATTAAGATGCACATTAACTACCTTCAGAGATGAATCTGAAGTCATCAGCAGTGCAACCAGCACTAATTACCATATTGTTCCTTGTATAAAACAACACTTTTCCCTAAAATAATTAGAGGAAAATTGAGGGTCATTTTATGCACAGTAGTAAGGAGGGGCGGGATCAAAGTTCTTTGATCCCTGCTTTCCCCCTCTACTTTTTGCAAAGAAAGTGGAAGGGGAAAGCACTTTCCTTGCAAAAAAAGTGGAGGGGGGAAGTAATTCCTTCTTTCCCCATCCATTTTCTTGAGAGGAAAGTGCTTTTCCCCTCCACTTTTTGCAAGGGGGAAAGCAGCTTTTTGCAAAGAAAGTGGAGGGAGAAAGCACTTCCATCTCCTCTTTCTTGCGAGAAAAGTGCTTTCCCCCTCCACTTTCTTTGCAAGAAAGCTTTCCCCCTCCGCTTTGCAAAAAGCTGAGAAGGAAAGCAGATGTTTGCAAATAAAGTGGAGGGGGAAAGCACTTTCTTCCCAAGAAAGGAGGGAGAAAGCAGGAATCAAAGAAATTTTGGGTTAGAAAAGGGGGGAGGTCTTATACATGGAAAAATATGGTAAGTAGGCAAAGAAAAGGGGGGAGGTCTTATACATGGAAAATATGGTAAGTGGGCAAGTAAAAATGGCAACAGTTCTTTTTTGAATTTTCCTGCAGACTTCTTCCCAGTCCCTCCATTTTGGGCAACTAAAAAAGGAAGCATCCATTCATCAAGATGGCTAAGACATACTCACTTTTTGCAGTTTTAGAGCAAGAATAATGGATCGTGTGCAGAGAATAAGAGAAGCAAAGCAGGTCACAATGACGAACCCATCAAAAACCAAGATGTATTGTGTGTTCTTTTGAACTGTTTACAGGAAACAGGAATAAGTAAAGAATAAAGGTCTAGTTAATACACACAAGCAACTCACAATATGGAACGGAATAGACTTTTTATTCTAATCCTGTTTCTTTCAATACATCTTTAAAGACTCAAGCACTAAGATATACAAGAGTATACACATACTCCTATGTATAGCAATTCTTTGAAAAGGCATTTACTTAATCAAGGATGTTGTATGTGAAGAGGGCATACATCACAGGCCAAGTAGTGTCCCATATGAAAGCAAAAGCTTCAGCCCCTATTTCAATGCATAAAGTAAGCAAAAGCTTCAGCCCCTATTTCAATGAATAAAGTTACAGTATTCCCATTATACATTTCACATGTATTTGTATACCACATCCAACTCACAGTTTCCTCACTTTTTAATTCTCAGCCTCAGTAAAAGTAAGATGAAATTAGTTTTTACTTACATTGGAGAAGTCACTATTTCATAAAAACTTGACATATTCTGTCAGGCTGTTAACTTGCAATATAACATTTCAATGAACTACAGGACATATGTCTCAAAGCAGCAGTTGTATCACAGAGTTCCTGCAGATTCTTCCCTTCCATCAGAGTTCAAATAAGGCAGAAACTGAGACTTCACCAACCCGTGGTTTTTTGTTTTGTTTTTTGTTTTTTTTTTTTGCTTGTCTGATCTCTCTCATCTCCTTGAATCCCTCCACTACCAGTGGGCAACATTTGCAATGCCTTGCCAGATGAAAGAATCCCAAAAGCAAGCGCACAGTTTTGGGTGGTGGTGGTAATAAAGCCATTACCATAATAGTGATTTTGGCTTTATATTCTGGTTCGACACCACTGGTCTTTGCATTCATCCTAAGTGTCAGTAAGTGAAAATTACCAGATGACCCATGATAAAAAAACCATTCACAGCAGCTTTCCATACAAGTGTCAAGCCATGGCAATATTTTAATGAGGGTTTTACCACATCTTCTGCTCTAATCTTTCCTCTCAGAACTCAGAGTGGAATAAGCACATCAGACCAAAAAAGGAAATGCAAGAACAAAAAGTGAGAGACAAAAACAGTATGGCACCTTAAAGACTAAACACTACATTTTAATGTAAGCTTTCATGGAGCAAGTCCACTTCCTTGGACATTAGAGTGACTATCTTATTTATACATGGTCCCATGACGAGGTGGGGATACAGGTAACAGACAAAGTGACAATGGTTCATGAGTAACAAAATAGGCTATCAAGCTGTGAATAATATCAATTATCAGTCTACAAAGTAACAACGGCATAGTTAACACAACTGGTAAAGCATAGGAATTGGTGAACCATTATTTTCTAATGACTTAGGAACCCATGATTGATATTCAGCCTTTTAAGGGGATCTTCAGCACCCATATATACTTTATCTCAGCTGTTTCTCCTTCAAGTCTACTTATGTACTGGGTTTTTTTCTTCCTAAAATGGTCACTTGCAGGTCACTCATAGAGTGGCCAGGTAGACTAAAACATTCTGAAACAGGTTTTTGTCTGTTGTTCTTCCTAATGTCTGTTCCTTCTGTTTCTGTTATTGAAGCACAGCTGTTTATGGGTCAGGAGCTTAAGACAAGGTCCTCCTCTTTGAATATGCATCTACTTTTCATTCACATATAAACAAAACTTACTGGATCCAGATATATTCCAGTCTTTACACTCCTGTATGTCAGCATCAGTATCAAAAAATATTTTCATTTTACCACTATGGGCTCTGTTGTTAAAAGTAATCTGGTGAAGAAATACAAAGTTTGAATGATTTTAGACAACATATAGCATATATACAGATAACACAAGAAACTAGTTGCACACCTTTAGAATCTATGCACTTAAGTATGTAGTCACTGAAAAGTTTTTCCCCTCCAAAACCAGATATTTCAAAGAGGGGCTTTGTTCTGCTTCATTTCATCATATGGGTTGGGCAATTCAGGGAGCTGTTGGTGCCAAACAGAACTTTTCCGGGTCCAACATACTTCTTCATCTATAAATGGTTATTCTGAACCTCCTGCAGACAATCGTTCAGCTATCCCACAGCTGAAAGAGTTCCCCACTGGGGGAAGTAGGCTTTGGATGTTTCTACTCCAGAGATGGAGATAAAATGGCAGACAGCATCTGACTGTCACACTAATAAAATATATTTCCTTTACCAGTGACCACTAAAGGCCAAGAACACCCATTCTTACAAAATGGAGAGGCTAATAGTTACATGATGCTGCATGAAGGGAAGCTACTTGAAGTATGAACCCCAACAAGTTAAACTAGCTTCGCAATCTCAAACTGAAAAAAAAAACCTTACAAAGAAATTTGATACTGGGCTATCATACTTGTGCCAAACTTGCTAGTTTCTTGATGGGCAAAAGACAGAGTGTTGTATGAATTGTTATACCACTCCATGGCTAATTACAGTAAATTAGATTGAAGAACAAGAACTTGCTTAACAGAAAAAGGTTGTGTTTTCTATGTGTGGAATGTAGAATGGCACTTACAGTATTCTCAAATTCATAACAGTCAGGCAGTTCACGGTCATGAATGGTTTGTAGATCGATGCCTTTTAGTTTAAAAGAAATTTCAACCTGTATGAGCCTGGAGAGTTAAAAAAAGGCATTACCATATATTTTCTCCTAGAAGACTAAACAAAAGCATTGCCTCCAAACCCGCTCACTTTACCTATAAAACTCAAGGTGGAAAAACGATGAATTCTTCAAGTCACTTGTTTCCTTAGCAGCCAGTTCCTGGGGATCTAGGTGAATGCATTCTTCAAGGGGTCAGGCAAAGAGACAACAAAATACACAAAAGCTTATCCCCAGTTGCACCATATCCTATTTCTGAATCCATGAAGGACCACGATCATGAATAAAGAGATGGATATTCTGATTATAAGACTGTTATATATAAACAAGCCTTCTCTGCATCCACGCAAGAACTCTGCGTTATACAGGATGCTAGGACCTACAAGGAACTTGGGAGCATCCATTTCAAAAACCAGGCAACCATCCATATTTTAACAAACAAGTGTGCACACGCTGCATGCAATCCCTTTCTTGGCCCAACTGCTATCTATTACACTTTCCTCTTTGGCCCAGCTTTGGGACAAGTCAGATCTCAAACCAAATTCAAACTTCAATTTAAGATCCTGTCCTGCTGCAAAGCTAGTGACCACAGCTTCCCAATTCAGGAAACTATGATTAACTGAAGACTTCCACCCTTCTGTAAGGCATGCGGCCAAAATCAGGGGAAACAAATGCCAAACTCTTAGTGCCTATCTCTGTTAGTTAAGCAAAGATGCAACACAAATAGGATGTGCCTAGGGAACAATTATATTTCTGTTTTGGCTGCTGACACAGGGCCTGCACATACAGCCAAACTATCTCAAAGTAAAGAATTTGCAGCATTTGGTTATAACTTTATTACATACCAGAAACAGGATGGCCATCTGTATGGGTTCACAGCTGGACTGCAAGAGGCAGCTGTGTCTTGACAAGGGTGCTAATGTAAAAATGTTCTGTTCCAGTAGTACCTGTTTCAATAGTACTGTCTATGTGCAATGTATCGTTAGATGGAAGCATCGTGCCTTTCCTGTATTGTTGCTTGCATATCTGTAAGCCTGCCAAGTCTTCTTCATCTTGCTCATAACCAAGCGTGCCCAGTGATATATTCTTCAGCTGCCGGTACTAGTTGCAAAGCAAACACACACACAGAACAAGACTACTTTTTAACAGCATAATCTCTATAAGGGCAAAGGAACACTGGATCCCTTGTTAAAAGAAGTTAAACATACCACTTCGTTTTAACTGTGTCACCTGTGAAAAACCAGTCTGAAATTGAAGGGAGAGAGATATATTTTTCTGCAGGCACAACTTGGATAATATCACATCTAAAGTACAGCAGCAGAGATGAGCATGAACTGTTGGTTCATTTCTCAGCCAGGTGTTGCCTTTGAGGGGGTGCTTGCCGGAGGAGGTGGAGCTAGGAAGTGTCAAGAAATGAACTGGCACAAGCTGCCAGTTTGGTGGTTCATGCTAGTCTCTATACAGCAGTGTAAACATAAGACTCCAAGATGTTTAAAAAACCCTGCCTGAATTAGCTTTAAAGAACACCATTTCAACTCTTGTTAATGGTAAAGGAATCAGAAACTGCTATGCTGACAGGCAAGCCCTCTTCACCTTGGTACACACTCATTGGGATACAAATCCCATTTACAGTCGTGCCCCGCTTAACGATTACCCCGCATTACAACAAATCCGCTTCACGACAATGTTTTTGCGATTGCAATTGCGATCGCAAAACAATGTTTTAAATGGGGGAATTTCGCTTTGCGAAGATCGGTTCCCTGCTTTGGGAACCGATTCTTCGCATTACGACGATCAAAACAGCTGATCGTCGGGTTTTCAAAATGGTCGCCGCGTGCTCAAAATGGCTCCCCACTGCTTAGGGACGGATTCCTCACTATTCAGGCACCGAAAATGGCCGCCATATGGAGGATCTTCGCTGGACTGTGAGTTTTTAGCCCACTGGAATGCATTAACCGGGTTTTAATGCGTTTCAATGGGTTTTTTATTTTCGCTTTACAACGTTTTCGTTCTACAGCGATTTCGCTGGAACGAATTAACACTGTTAAGCGAGGCACCATTGTATAAGCCTCCTCACTATTCAGGCACCGAAAATGGCCGCCATATGGAGGATCTTCGCTGGACTGTGAGTTTTTAGCCCACTGGAATGCATTAACCGGGTTTTAATGCGTTTCAATGGGTTTTTTATTTTCGCTTTACAACGTTTTCGTTCTACAGCGATTTCGCTGGAACGAATTAACATCGTTAAGCGAGGCACCATTGTATAAGCTTGAGTTTAAGCAACACTTATTTTCAGAGAAAGGGAATGTCTGAAGGGCCATGTTTTGCCTACTCACTTTTAACAGGAAGACAGCTACAGTAGTGCTAGTGTTGCTCCTGCTGCCTTGCTAGAGCTCATGAAATATGAATGACTGAAAGTTAAGCCAGTCCATTTATCAGATGGAACCTTCAAAAGGCCCTGCTTTTGAATGACAGGTATCATATTAAATTAGCAGGAAGACATGCCCTATGAATGGCAAAATCCAGAATTTCTGCTTACACACTGACATGCTAGCATATCAAGGAAAAGCAGTACACTGAGCAAGCATTGCTAGCTTTTCCCTTTTCTGGGAAGATGTTTGTGACTGCTCTCTTGCACCCTATATGAAGGTACCTTATCTGCCCCCCCATCACTTTTGCACCTAACATGCCCCCAGTTTTATTTTTCAATGGGGGGGATGCTTTTTTTGCTCAAAAAATCCTCTTGTGGCTTCTAAGGAATATGGGCAGCAATGCTGCCATGTTTTGAGAAGAAAGCCAGGGTCCCCCAAGCCTGAGATAGAGATTAACGCTGACCTCTCATGTACACTCTAGTGGCCAATTTTATATATATATATAAAATTGGCTGCATTTAAAATAAAAAAATTAAACAACAACAATATGAAAATTAGCCTATTTGGCCACACTTCATGCCCTGGAAATGCTGCCCTTAGGCAGCTGACAAATCTGGAAAATGGCACTTGGTCTCACTGAGATCACCCACCCCTGCCTTAAGTAAATATCACTGACCTGATTAATTGCAAAAAAGATACTATCGTAAACATCTTGCTGTGTGTACACGCTACAGCTATAGTCGTCTTCATCAACACCAGAGTAGTTTTTCAGGAACAGGTGCTTGAAAGCTACAGTATTCTCCTCTTTGAAAGAAACCACCGACTGATTACTCAGACCAAAAAGGATAAGCTTTCCAAAAAAGAAAAGGAAACAAAATGAGGTTAAATTGTTTCATCCATTATACACTGGTTGTGAGAATAGGCCGTTCAGATGATGACAAGCAAGTGGGAAGTGAGAGTCTGGTCTGCGTAATTTAGCCTCTCCCCATCAATATTGGTGCTTGAATCCCAGTCAGCACTTTTCTGAACAACCTTATCAACTGGCAAGGATTACAAGAGCTTTGGTCAACTTTCTCCCAATTTAAACTGAAAAAGAGAAGAGCTCAAGATGTGACAGTGCACCTTCAATATTCTTTCTATAGTATATAAATATAAACCAAGCACTTAATGAAAGAAGTCACCTTTATCAATGTCTCTGTCCCCTGCAAGTATTCCCCATTTGGCCCATAAGTTTCTTCTGCTCTTATCTTGAATCTTCTGTGATTGGAAATAGGTGGGCATTTAAAGCCCAAGAGACCATCACAATAAAGCATCACCCATTGCATTCTTGCGAATGCACAACTCACAAGATTCTTCCTGAATTGGAATTCAACCAACAAAGGGAAGAGACTAATAAAAAACAAACAAACAAAATGTTCCTGTGTTATGGGGAACATGTGAAAATGCAGATATCTGGATTGTTCCTTTTCTGCTCTGCATAAGATCAGACAACATGTAGACTTGATATGGGCAACTTGTGTCCTACCACATATTGCTGTGTTGTGAGTCCTTGTTTCTCACATTGTCAGCTATAGCTGATAAAAGAGGCAGTCCAACAACATCTGGGGAGCTACACATTTTGCAGCCCCAAGTTTGATCAACGGGGAATGACTTCACTTTGCAATACTAATGGACTGAAGAAAACTGTACTCAGTATCTAATCCGTACTTCCCAAACTGAAGTACCATAATATTTTGATATTTGCACTTTTCCGAATTTAAGATTTTAAAAAAATTCAAAACTGATTCAGACTAGTCTCTATGTATTTGTTCATCTTTATACACAGTAGTTCCAATTAGTCTCTTCTCTATTTCTACTCTGAAGATTCCTCCACAATTCCTGTGACAGTAGCAAGCTATAAAATAACCATAAGATCTCAAAATAGGCTGCTTTGACACATTACTTCAAGTAGTGTTATTTTGAAGTAATTGCAATAACTCTTAAACCTTTCCCACCTACATTCAATAATGAATCAGCTGGCTGTATAATTTCCAAGTCTGGCAGAGTAGAGCTGCCTCCTCCAAAATGCCTAAATGGTAAGTGCCATGGCATGGCATCAATTCACTCCACTGTCAGTATTTTATTTGTTTGCTTTTAATTGGCTTTATATTGCACAAAGCCAAGGTGAGGGGAATTTATGAGGTGGTGGTGAAAGAAAACATCCTAGAGGGTATGTAGTCACTTCAGAGGGAAAAAACAAAATCCAGCATGAAGTCAGTTCATCACACTTACCTAAGAATCTTCTGCAGTCCGTCATGTGGGCAAAAAAAGGGAAGTATTTTTACATTGTTATTGAAACACATCGGTACAATACAGAATACTAACTAAGACACTGTTCCTCTGTAAGAATAAAATATCACACATTCGTAGGTGGACTTCTGTTTAACCTGTTACTTCAACCACGGGACATTTTCAATTTAACATGCATATTTTGTACAGATTTCTGAAGTATCTGAGTTTTGTAACAGTTGGATTTTTTTCCCTGTAGAACATAATCATATCAGATTTCTCCTGGAAACTCCCAACAGCTGTAAATAAAACTTCAAGGGATAACTGAAAGTGGATTGAAGAGAAGGTGGGGATATGTTCCACGTGTATCCTAACAATCAAGTAAGAGAAGTTAGGCAGATCACATTTTGCCCAGGATCACCTCTTGAACGTATGGCCTGTGAAGATGATCTGAATACAGCTCTTTCTACCTGAGAAGTCTTATGCTCTTTAGACTGCAAGAAGCATGAAAAGCTGGAGACTTTCAGACTCTTTGCTAGATCATCAAGATTATGTCACACAAGAACTTTCAAACAGTACAGTATAAGAAATATACCATGAATAAGAGCAGATAGAAGAGTACTTCTTCAGGAAGTACTGTATATAGTTAAACCAATTTACTATCAAAGGATGCTGGAATGTTCCTCAGCTTTAAAGGCTGTCATGGGTATCAATAATTTCCAGTCATTATGCCTATACACTACTGCCAGTATCAACGTGCCTCTCAATTCCATTGCAAAGGCACACAAATGTGAGGGTGTTAACTGGACTTATGTCCTGCTCTGGACTTCCCATCGGTTGTAGGTGAGCAAATTAAGCAAATGTGAGAATACATTGGTCTTGGGTCAGATCTAGCATTAACTAGCATACGGGTAGGGAACCTTTGGCCTACAGGCTGGATTAGGCCATTGCTTATTTTCATCTGTTTCAGGTAACTCCAGTGTTGCAGCAGGCTCATAGCATGCTTTGCCTTTCCTTCAAGAAATGTTGGCAGCTGGTAAAATGGTGTGCACTCCTTTCCACTCACCCTCTTTCCCTTGCAAAAAAACTAAGAGCATACACTGGAATCCTTGTGAAAGCAAGAATCAGACCAGTTAACAGCGAGTCTGAACTGCACTTCCAAAGGTCTTCTGACCTCACTTGCCAAGGAGAGAGGGCATAGATTGAGAACCCACGCTTTCAGGCTACAGACCCCATGTGGGTAAAAGAACTCAGTCATTGGGTTACATAGGCTAGTCCGGTAACTTTTGAAGAAAAAAGTTATAAGAAGGGCAAAGGAATCTACAGATCAGCTGCTCAAATACAACAATGCAACTTAACAGCGGGGCAACAAATGTTTCTGCCAACAATTTCCAGTGTCCACTCCTTAGTTTACATTTTAAAGTTACTGGAACTTTAAACAGTGGGAAGGAAACCTGAGCCTGACATCACAGAAAACTGTTGCCATGCATATTCATGTAGATGAACATATAATTCCATATAAGTTTTTTTTAGAGTTACCTGAGTAGTAACCATAACTATCTTCAAAATCTGGATCCCCAGTTTCCATGGTATTTGACGTCGAGCTCGGTATTTTTCACATGGATTCATGAAGTAAAATTTTAAATCCTCTTTCAGAGATTGCTCTTCCTTAAAGTCTGAATCCGGCTGAGACATCACACTTCTGCCAAAGACAACAGGCTGATGTTCTAAATGCAACATACCTTAATATATTTTGTGTGTGTCTCCATAAATGCTCACATCCTGCTTTCATTCAGAATTATAAGAATAAGATTAAAGAGAATGCAACTAAACTGTTGCCCTTTTATAACAAAAGGAAGATTTCCGTCATTACACAACAACCACCTGTTTATGGACCTTGCCTGACATTTTTAAAAAATGGCTTTGTTCCAAATAAGCTAGAAAACATTAACATGGAGCCAGTGAATCTGTGGTTAGCAAGAGTCTTTAGAAACCTAGATTTGTCTGAAAGAAGAATCTGAAGGTCATTTCAGACTTCTAAGCAGCAACCTCAGTGCAGGCAAAGGCTACTATTCAACCCACATATTACATACCGGGGGGGGGGGAATGCTTAACCTCTTCCCCCATCCTTCAAGACTTCTGTCTGCCTACTCTACCACTGCAGAAATCCCAAGTCATTGTCTGAGACGTTACACACTTCTGTACACACTGAGAAGTTACACACTTCTATTCCTTCACTGAGAATTCTAAATTGGTCATCCCCAGAGCAGTTCAGCAAAGAAGAAAGCAAGCCAACAGATTTTGTTCTACTTACAGTTCTGTCATACAGAGCTTAGTCCTAACGAATTGGTAGGAAGGGTTCTCACAGCAGTCCTCCAGCATGTCAGCATCTGAACTTACCAACTGACACTACACTTTCTCTCCTTTCCGACAAACATTTTGCTATATTTGGCCTCGTAATGCTGTGCAAACAGAACAGCAATAAAACATCCCTCCGTTGAATGAATGACTAAAGTCAAAGGTCTCTGCGGCTGTGGATTAGCCAAACAAATCTTAAGCGTTGCCACCTATCTCGTGGCTAAAAATACTGCACTGAAAGACTGACTGTACTCCACAGTGTTAAGAGCAAATTGTGTCTTCCAGTTCTAAAGAGCACTCAGTGCAATTCTGCCTAATGCAGAGCAGAGTGCTGAGCTGTGTGTCATGGCAGCAATAAAGTCTATATGGTAGGCTGGGCTGGAGTTAACAGTAATCAGGCTCCACACACAGTCTGTATTCACAAAGCAGTTGCACACTTTGAGCGGAAGAAATTTGGGATTCTTGTTTCGAACATTTATGGCTTCCTGCATATTCCTTATGCTGTGACTTTCATGTCATCTAGATTCAGAGACATTCTCTGAGCCAAAATGTCAAGCTGACAAATGCATCCACAATGGCTATCTGGTGGCCTGTGGTACAAATCCAGATCTACAGCACTGTTCCTACAATTACAGTGGAGATCATAAGATATCTTGTGCGGGTGAATGTGCAAACATTAGAAATTGTATTGTTTTCTTGCAGTGTGTGCATGCTGCATTTGTGGCAGTTCATCATCTGACTGATCCTTTCACATATCTGGCCTACAGTGAGGTCTTGACTTAAGAACGGCTTGAGTTAAGAACATTTTGACTTAAGAACCGCTCTCATAGGAAAATATTGACTTGACTTAAGTACTTAGATTTGAGTTAAGAACTGGAAAAACCCACGTGGGAGGCAGGGAAAGTGCAAAATGTGAACTTTCAGTTAACTGTTGGCCAGTGAAAAGGGTGCCTGTCTGCTTCCTCACTCCTCCCAGCGTTTAGAGAGTGGATTGGGAGACAGTCTTCGGACTGCCTGGTACTGTCCTGCCTGGACTGTATTTTCCCTGCCTTCCCTGAACCTTTCTTGACCTAAGAAAAAAAGAATCAAAATATCCCCCTCTAGTGGTCGAAGGCGGAATAGCAGCTTCCCATTAGTTTCTATGGACGGAAAAGAGCAGATACGGATCAAATGGTTTTCAATGCATTCCTATGGGAAATGCAGATTTGACTTGAGAACTTTTTGACTTGAGAACCGCCTTCCAATACGGATTAAGTTCTCAAGTCAAGACCCCACAGTATATCCAACCCCCTGGATGTTCCAGCATGTTTATTTCTTTCAGAACACTTCAGATGTGAATATTTTAAAATGTTCTATAAATGCCGGTGTGGTCGATAGCTCAGTGGATTGGGTACTTGACTTTGGATGGAGCCAGATGTTGGGTGTTTAATACTCTGTCATGTTTCCCAGGAGAAACGTCAGCCAGTACAGCTTTGGGCAAGCCTCACAGTTGTAGAATGTTTCCGCACCCAAAAAGAAAAATGCTAAATCACTTCTGACTACCTTATACCTAGAAAACTTTGGAATGGGTCACCATAAATTGGAATCAACTTGATAGCACATCCTCCTCCTCCTCATTTTACTAGCAAAAGGTTCTAACTGCAACAATATGCCCAATAGCTGAAACACTGACTTGAAAGTAAAATTCTGAGATTGAAAACCTATAATCTTGGAGGCTGACTACATGGGCTGTTTAACCCACTGTTTGGAGTGCTACAGGGATAAACTGGTACATTCTCAAAGAAAGTGATCAAAAACACGCACTAGCCCGCCCCCAAAGTGTTCCACATCTTTCTGGACCCAACCAAGGGGCTTCTGCTTTTCTGGTGTGGGTAGGTTTGCTCTGGTTTGGATCAGTTTCAGCACATTTGATTACTGAAACTGTTCCAAAGCAAGCCTTCCTCTTTACATTTGCCAATACAGTATTGTGAAGTGCCTTAATAAGCAAGCCACTTCACGATATTGGCAAATTAATTATTTTCCCTGACTTTATGTAGGCTATTGCTGATATGTTACATCAGTTAGAAAAAAATATAGACACTTTGTTTTGCCTTAAAGGGCCAGTGAAGAAACTGCCCACATATGAATATATTTCTCTTCCCTTGGCCATTGCCAAGCAGAGGAAGCGGCTTGCTTATTAAGCCACTTCACAATAGTGGCAGGAGCCACTTCTGTGTGAATCATTCCCATGCAGCCCACATTAGCTTGCTCCTTGCTGCTGGTGTAGCCAAATTCTTACTTAGTAATAAACCCCAAGTTCCCCCTACCAATCCAGTAGGATTCACATCTGAGTAAATGTGAATTATATTGTACAGTATCCAGGTGCTTGGACCTAAGAGGAACCAAGCTTTTCCTTAGCAGAACACAGTCTTGACTGTATGCATCATTAGATGAGGCAGAAATACATTTTTGTTTGCTTTCCTAAAAGGAAGATTTAATGATGCTTTTGAGTAGTGCAAGCTTTCACACAATATATCTGAGCACAGTTACATACAGTCATTTCTATGTCAACTTAGGATCTGATTGCACGTTCTACTTGGGAGAATCCTACTAGGAGTAACTCTGAGTGAAACTGTTACAGACATTAATGCTTTTCTGTATTTAACCCAGTTTAGAGCCAGCTGTAAAAGGAAACTAGACACCACACACACAAAAAGGGGATCTGCAGAAAAGGCAAAATTTGGCACACCTGTTATGATGAACCACAAAAAAGCATCACTTTCCTCATCTGCTTTTTGTTTGTGGATCTGAACTATCTACATTTCTGCTAAAATATGCTACACTGATAATACTTTAGTAATTAATGTTGCCTTCAGACTTTCTTTATACACTTGCAATTCTATTACTTATAAAATTCTTTTACTTTGGATTCCATCATTCTGTATATATCTTTTACCCACAAAAGCTCATACTGAAATAAATCCCCTAGTCTGAAAGCTGTCACAAATCTTTTCACATTTTTGTTTGGTTTTGTTAGACATAACGAAACAGAATAGCTTAGTTAAAAGAGTTTTTTTCTTCTTCTTCTTCTCCCCCTAATAACTTTTCTAAAGTGGCCTTCAAATGTTGATAAAGGGGTGTTTTTTTGCACAGGAGAGAATGGATTTGATCCCAATCCCGCGTGGGGAATCTTGAGCTTCAAAATACTCAGCCGCGGAATTTTGCCTTCACAGCACCACCCTGCACGTGCTACTCGTGAAGTAAATCCCCCTTGTCCTGAAGGGGCTTCTCTTCGCGTCGGTGGGTGTTAAAGAGTGCAGCCAGCCTCACAGCGCATGTGAAAAGAGGAATGTTAAGCAGGCTTCTGGAAAAACCCCGCCGCTTCCCCTCTACCTCACCTGGTCACCAGCGTCCTTCCCTTGCCCAAGTCCCGGAGGGACATGACGGAGGGCCGCCGAGGCTTCCTGCCGCCAACTCCAGCTCTGCCCGGGGCGACGAACTCCGTGAGAGGCGCGGGACACATGGAGAGGGAGAGCCGCCGAAGGAAGCCGAGCTAAAGCCCGGACGCGGCCGCTGCCGTCACGCGGAACTTCAGCGTTGGAACTGAACCGGGCGCCCGAGCAGGCGCCTCTCTTTGCGAATGGAAACCGCCGCCACCACCAGCAGCAGCGGGCGGCCCTCCTAAGGTGCCTCCCGGAGTCGTAGCTGCCTCCGCGGGTGCGAAATCCCAAGCGCCAAGTCCGCGACCGGCGCGCGCCGCTGTTCTCATCTCTCCAGCTGCGCGCAAGGAGGCGCGGCGCGTGACTTTTAAAAGCGCTGCGCAGAGAGCATTTGCGACAAGAGCAGGGGGCTGGGGGGTGTAGGTGTGTGGGTTTCTCTGTCCTTCCGGGCCGTGCAAGAGCACTTTAGTTTTAACCGGGCCGTACGGTTAGGTTAGGCCGAGGGTACCTTTGGCCCCGCAGGTGCTTCCCTCAGCCTCACTCTGCATGGCCCATATGGGGGGACTGCGCAACTTGTAAACCAGGCCGGGTTTCTCTGTCCTTCCGGGCCGTGCAAGGGCACTTTAGTTTTAACCGGGCCGTAGGGTTAGGTTAGGCTGAGGGTACCTTTGGCCCCGTAGGTGCTTCCCTCAGCCTCACTCAGGTTTCTCTGTCCTTCCGGGCCGTGCAAGGGCACTTTAGTTTTAACCGGGCCGTAGGGTTAGGTTAGGCTGAGGGTACCTTTGGCCCCGTAGGTGCTTCCCTCAGCCTCACTCAGCATGGCCCATATGGGGGGACTGCGCAACTTGTAAACCAGGCCTCGGCCATGCAGGGGGGAGACAAAAGAAATCCCAGCAAAAACAAACTCCTCAGCACAATGTCCATGCAGGCAAACCTGGTCTTCAGCCTCAGCTCAGCCTCCCTGGGGAAAAGGGGGATTTGCTGCTTGGGTAACAGCCTATCCTCCATACTACTTGACCCAGGTTTCATGCTCTGGAGAGGATACTTCTCTATACAGAGCATGTTACCATAGTCTCTCGAGACTGAAGGATGCCTATGATGAGGCCAGGCCTTCGCTGGAGAGAGCCAAATGATCCCCTCACCTGCCCTTCCTTAAGCAGTGGGCTCAAGTGGTGGAGGTGGCAAAGGGTGGCTGCATGGCAAGTTCCTATTTTACTCATTACAGTACTGTACTTTCCTAGGGAGGCGGGGGGGGGAGGAGGAAAGGCCCTAATCTGGATCCTGTGCACTTGAACTTCAGGGTAAGGGAATTTACTGGCTTGCCTCAGCCTTTAAAATATTTTTGGCCAGCTCTCTGATTCAGTATGAGCTATCAAGGCCTTGGATCCACCCAGATGATCAGGGAGGCAGATGTTCTCCAGATATTTTGGAATGACAACTCCCATAACCACCACCCCCAACATTTGCTGTGTGGCAAGGGGCGATGGGAGCTATAGCCAAAACAAACACACACACTTTAAGAGGTTGTTACCCTGTGTCGTACATGTTGAGTATATGAGCCCCAATGAGTTTGGTCAAACATATCCAAGTAAATACGCATATTTGGCACACACTGTACATGTAGGTGTAGCAGTAAAGGTAAGGCCCACTGGGTCTACAACAGCAGGAGAAGGTTATTTACCTTTGTGCTCTGCTGTTGGGCATCACAGGGACATATGATTGACTCTTACAGGAAATGTAGTGTTAGACTATAGACATGTCCTTATTTTGCTCCAGCAGTGCTTTTGAATATTCCTACCTGTGTGTAGGCTTCAGTTGCAAAACAAACAAACAAAAAACAGTCAAAGCTCAGCAACATGTTTTAACAGCCCATTCCTTCTCAAAGAAATAGGTTTTAGGCTGCAGTCCTCCTGATCCTACTTACCTGGCGGTGGCATCTAATAAACTCAATAGGATGTTGGCTGAAATCTTGTTGGTAGAGCTGCACTGCACAGTGAGGGTGATGTAATTGGCTGTAGCCATGCCGCAGGCATTTTGGGGCAATAAAAAGCTTCCTAGAGCCCCTCCCTCCAGGTTCTGGAGATCCCTAGGGATTCCCTTCATCCTGGGGCAGACGTTGGGAGCCACAGAATAGGAAGGGGGGGGTAACCTAAAGTTGGAAGATTGCCAACACTGGTTGGGTTTGAAGCCCTCTTGCCAAAGAGGTCCTGTGGCTGGATTTGTCTGGAACGGTGGTGGGCATTTTCCAATATTGGGGGTCGCTGGCTGTGTTGTGTTTCTCTTAGACCATTGAGAACCACACCGCAGTTGCCAGTGAAAGCGGCTGTCCCTCTCAGTGATTCAGGAGCTTACCCGAACATCTTCTCACATTACAGAGCTACAGGGGCTGTGGGAGGTTTTCTGGACCTCCAAAACACTGCTATAACAACAGCTCATTCCAGTTTGGTGGCAGTGATCAGAAGCAGCTACAAGGGTTGTTTTGGCAGATGTTAAAAAGTCCATGAGCCCAATCTTGCCCACTCCTTTTCTAGTGTCTTCTGTGCATCTTATTTTAAGTGATGAAACTACATTGCAATTCTGTGACTGTATGGTTCTTCCAGGTTTTCTTTGTATCAGAGATGCCATGGGGTCCATCTTGTTCATTACAGCTATTTACTTGTTATAGACTGTAATCTAGAAGACAGGCATAATGTATTTTAATAGCAGGTGGAACTACGGTTCTTTTGCAGTCATTCAACCTTGCAGGTTTGCACAGCTGTTTCCTTTTAATTGCAGATCTTTCTCTGCCTTAGAATGAAGTCAGATATGCCAATTTCAGCCACATGATTTAAAACTAGTACAGATATTAAAAAGGAACAATGAGTATGTATAGTTTAAACAAATATTTATTCTTAATGTTAGTATTTATTGTATAATATTTATTATTATAACATCTTCCTACAAAATGTGAACAGACAGCATATACATATAACTTTCCAAAGTTTGTACACAGTACATAAAAATGTCTTGCTGCTCATTCAAGTACTCTGCCATGAATTTTTTACATCTGAAAATTTGAGAGCACTAAAAAACAGACTTCCATTCTTTTTCACATTTGCTTTCATATTAAATTCAGAAAAGCAAAATAGGCATCTGTAAAAGTAAAGTTCCACATCAGAGTTTTGGACCACTGTTGAGCAAGTCTAAGATCTATATCACAAGTTGCAAAGAAGTTAAGAATTATATTTAGGAATGGTACAGCCCATTCCTATCTTAATGCAATCAGTCTGCACTTCCTAAACAAAGTATTGAAAAAATATACCATTCTGCATACAGAACTTGATTTGGAAAGGTGTGTTCGCCCTTCCTTTTATTAGTGTATTCCCATTTTATTTAGTGTTGTAAGGAATGTGAAAAATAAGAGTTTCTCTCTTCCACTGCATTTTAAGTATGAAATCTCTGTCCACTGTAGCTGGAAGAGTGGCAAAAAGACTTTTTAAAAAGCTGCTTTAAAATAAATTGCAGCGTCTATGTAAAAAATACGTCAAGACCAAATCCATGTTTCTCCAGAAAAAACAGGAATAATGTGTCTCTCCCCCTCCCCTCCATGTTACTGGACCAAAGCTCCAGTCAGCCCTAACCATCATAGCTAGTGGTGAGGAATGCTGGCTAGTCAGATAACATTGGGAAAGCCGTATGATCTTAAGTATGAAAAAAATTCCCTTTTCCTGCATCTCCTTTGCTTGGACATGTGTGTCATCTATCTGAATCCAGCCCTTGGCAACAAACACTTCTCTTTGTTACGATGCTGTAAAACAACAAAACAAACAAAAAGCTAAATACAAGAATAAAATGATTCCTACTGCCCCTGTTTACAGTGGTGCTTCGCATTACGACGTTAATTCGTTCCAGAGAAATCGCTGTAGAATGAAAAAGTTGTAAAGCAAAAATAAAAAAGCAATTGAAACGCATTAAAACCTGGTTAATGCATTCCAATCGGCTAAGAACTCACCGTCCAGCGAAGATCCTCCATAGGGGCAGCCATTTTTGGGTGCCTGTGCAGCGAAAAATAGCTCCTAAACACAGCAGGGAGCCATTTTGAGCACCCAGTGGCCATTTTGAAATCCCGACAATCAGCTGTTTTGATCCTCGGGAAGCGAAAAAAATGGTTCCCGAAACTCAGCTGTTTTGATTGTTGGGAAGCGAAAAACGGTTCCCGAAACAATCCCCCCATTCAAAATGTTGTTTTCTGATCGCTCTTGCGATCGCAAAAACCTCGACCCATTCAAAATGCTGTTTTGTGATCGCTTCTGCGATCGCAAGAATCTCGTCGTAATGCGAATTCATCGTAAACGGAGTGCCCGTGTTGCACGTAATGCGGTTTTGTCGTTAAACGGAGTGCCCGTGTTGCGAGGCACCACTGTAATTCTGTCTCATCATTTTAGAATTTAAAAACAACAGTCTCAATCCCTGATTATACTGATTGATAAGAGACATATCCACACCAAGAGAGGTACGTAACTTCTGTATCTGCATGCTCTTTTCCGATTGAGAGTTGACGCCCTCATTTTGCCAGTTCTTGCTGTCCTTGGTTAAACCTTTTTGACTATCATCAAGGTGACATTTCCCTGGCCTAGAGAACATACAGATGAGTGTGTAACATGTCACAGAGTAATTTTCAATCTTCTGCTTTGTTCCCTGAGACAATATGTACTTGACAATATGTACCAAAGCCATAACTAGCAATTTTGGTGCTTAAGGCTTTGCTGCCTTATTGGTTAAGCTTGGGTAACATGTACAGGACAGAAGAATGAGGAGGAACACTTCGGTCAGCATTGGTTGATGCTGTAATGTAGCTGCCTGTTTTGTATTTTCTTCTGCCTAGGGAGTAGCAGCTGGAGATGATACACATACTCAGGGAGAGCAGCTTCACACCTTCCTAGTAACAAATACCAAGGGGTGGGCTTGTGCCCTTCCAGTAGCAAAATTTTGCACTGTTTAAATCAAAACCCTGGTCACCTTGCCCTAGTTACAGCTCTCTTGAGAACATTTTTAGAAATTGTTCAAACTGGGGGGTGCAACTTTTGGTCCTCCAGATGTTGCTGAATAGGAACAACCAATATTCTTCACAATTAATTGTACTAGCTAGCTACTAGATCTAATGGGAATTGTATTCCTACATGTAGAGGTCCACCAGTTCCCTACTACTGGTTTAAGCAAGGGCCTATTCTGTGCAGAATAAGTAAGCATGTGAAGCCTTGCTACGTCAACAGTGCCATAGACTGAGTATTTAGGAAACAGTCACTGAGGCGCTTGAGTTTTCTAATTATTTTTTCATACCCTGCAAATGTTGATGTCCTCAAGTTATTTTCTTTCTTTTTTTAATTTAATTGCATCATACTCTCACCTAAACTAGCATTTGGTTAGTGCAGTAAGAGGTTGACGTACAGAGGTTTATTTAAAAATATATTTTAGTAACATAGTTTTTATTATGTTTAAATAGTACCAGTCATGGTAATTGACTAAGATACAGTATGGTATGTGTTCAAGTTATCTGTCTGCTGGTTTTGGCTCACCAAAACATCAGACTAGGTACAATCCTCACAATAAATGGAGGCAGACTTCAGAATTTCAGGGTCTACTTTGCCCTCTCTCTCCCCCACCCCCGAATCCCAAGTAGGGTACGGTGCTCATCCCCGTCTCCAAGGCGCAGAGCCAGCATTTGTCCATAGTTTCTGTGGTCACATGGCCAGCGCGACTAGACATGGAATGGTGGTCCCTATTTATTTACATGCATTTACATGCTTTCGAACTGCTAGGTTGGCAGGAGCTGACAGGAGCTCACTCCGCCGTGTGGATTCGATCTTACAACTGCTGGTCTTCTAATCTTGTAGCATAGAGGCTTCTGCACCTTAACCTGCAATGCCACCACGTCCCTATCAACAGCTACAGCCTATTATGTTTAAATAGTACCAGTCATGGTAATTGACTAAGATACAGTATGGTATGTGTTCAAGTTATCTGTCTGCTGGTTTTGGCTCACCAAAACATCAGACTAGGTACAATCCTCACAATAAATGGAGGCAGACTTCAGAATTTCAGGGTCTACTTTGCCCTCTCTCTCCCCCACCCCCGAATCCCAAGATTCAACAGTAAGGTAAAGGTAAAGGTTCCCCTTGACATTTAGTCCAGTTCTGTCCAACTCTAGGGTACAGTGCTCATCACTGTCTCCAAGGCGCAGAGCCAGCGTTTGTCCATAGACAGTTTCCGTGGTCACGTGGCCAGCACGACTAGACACGGAACGTCGTTACCTTCCCAGCATGGTGGTCCCTATTTATCTACATGCATTTACATGCTTTCGAACTGCTAGGTTGGCAGGAACTGATGGGAGCTCACTCCGTCGTGTGGATTCGATCTTACGACTGCTGGTCTTCTGATCTTGTAGCACAGAGGCTTCTGCACCTTAACCTGCAACGCCACCACGTCCCTATCAACAGCTAGAGCCTACTTCAAAAGCCATGCACACATAGAATTTCAAGCTTTGGTATCTGTTTTGAATGTAAGCACTTCCTTCATTTAAGCAGAATTTTTTTGGAAGTGTCATTATTCAACAATTGTCTGATCTACTTCAAATCACCCAGAAATTTTATGACAGTGATCTAACCTCTACAAGTACTGTGTGCAAGAGAACAAGAAGGAACAAAGCACCTACTGTAAGTTTAACTAATTAAGTGTGCAATTGCCACTGTAGGATTATGATAGTGATAGGATGGTAGAGCATGCACTAATGCCACTATAACACAGTGGTCTTGCTGTGCTTTCTGGAGCAATTCAAGTGTATGCATTGTACAATAATTAGAACTTGGTTAATAAACCTGAGTTAACACAGTCCTGGACAGATTTTAAGTTGATTAATGCTGCAGGAGTCTTGGTGAGAGTGTTGTGTCTTAAGTACAGCAGTTTCCACGTTGACTAGTTAGATAAGAATCTATGATAAATGTGCCTTTCCTGAATCCCCAAATCAAATGAAGAATTCTTGCCAGTACTTTCATTACGACCTTAAAGGTAGGGAAAAAAAGGAAGTATGTTATCTATCTGTATACAGAAAAAGATAAGGGGAAAAAGAAGATTGTTTGCTTTCTAAAACACAACGACTGGAAATCATAAAAAAAACTACTTACAGGGAAATCTCACTGAGCTCAAGGTGGACTTCCAGTAAACCTGCTGTTTTATCATGCTGCACCTCTGATCATTTCCTTGAATATGGATATGTGCAGTATCTGTGTTTGCTTTCTAAAACACAACGACTGGAACTAAAATCATAAAGAAAACTACTTACAGGGAAATCTGCACAGGATATGTGCAGTATCTAACCTGATCTATATGCTTTATTTTTGTCTCGGTACTATTGTGGCACATGCAGTGTGATTTTTTTTTACAGTCACACACTAAAAGTCTCTTATGGCAGAGGACAATATTTTGCTTCTTACTGCAAAGGTACTTTGGGTTCCTTATGAGCATGTCTTAACACTTGTGTGTTCTGTTCCAGTTATAAAAGGTTTCTGTCTCTTGAAATAAATTAGTATGATGTTATCTTTGGGATGTAAAGAGACTACCTTTTCAACCTCACCAGGCTTATGCAGATGGATGAAATATTTCTGAAGAATAAACTGTTTAATAGAAAGCAATAAAAATGCATAAACTATAACATGATGAATAAAAAGAGGAAACAGATTGTGCCACTGTCAGCCACTAACCTTTTGCAACAGCAGAAGATGGTTATCGGTCCTTCGTCTTCTAATCTGTACTTTCCAGAGTTCGGCAAATCTTTGCACTGTGCAATGAACATATGAAGTTCTGTCTCTGGAAAGCCTTCTTGCTGGTAATGCTAAAAAAAGTTATTTAGTCTCAGTGTAGTGTAACTCAGACAAATCAAATTAGACAAATGAATAAAGGATTAGGATTTTAATCATTACTGGCCAACACAGCCTTTGTCTTCCACCACTCATTTTGACAAGAAGGGTGCAAATTGGCGCCTATGTTGGCTAGGGCTGTGTGGAGTTTTAGTCCACTAATATAAGGAGAGGTACATATTTCCCCCTTTGTCTTCCACCACTCATTTTGACAAGGAGAAGGGTGCAAATTGGCGGCTATGTTGGCTAAGGCTGTATAGAGTTTTAGTCCAGCAATATAAGGAGAGGTACATATTTGCTAGCCTGCTCTGTGAACCTAGAACATCTGTTGTAAAGGAGTCAACTCATGGTCCTTCAAATATTGGAGTACTAAGTCTTATCAGACCAAGCTAGCACAGCCAGTGATGAAAGATGAGAACAACAATGTCTGGAGGGCTACAAGTTGTACTACCCTGATCTATTGATGTCTTAAAAGAAACTACAGGTTAATTGGTATCTGTACTTATTAAATATTGGCCCAGAATCCGATTAGGTACACCCACCCATGTAAATCAATTAGCATAAATATCAGCTGTGAATTCATCAGCAAATGGAACAGTGCACAGCAACAAATGCCTAAGATGACTTCTTAAATTGTAGCAGTACACACCTGAAATTTACACTGATGGGCTCACACCAGCACGATTTTTCAGCTGGGTTCCAGATATTACATATCCAGAACTATTTCAAACACATAATTAAAACTCTAGAAACATTTTTAGATTCCAAATATGCATGTGACAGTTTTTTTAAAAAAATACTGTAACTTGAATATCAGCAAGATCCTTATTTCAGATGTTTTAGCAACTCTGATATCTAGGTATCAAACAATCATTTTAACTCTTTACTTGTTAGAAAGAGTCACACATACCTTAACTGTTTCATATGTATCTGTAATAAGGGCAATGAAGAGACTCAGAACCATGTAGATAAACAGGCTAATGAAAGAATAGAGGTAGATCCGACTGAATAACCAAACCAAATAACTTTTCTGCTGCATTTTTGCAAAAGTGGCAAACATATCATCTCCATTTATTAGAGAGAAGAGACATTCAGAAACCATGTTCAGGGACCGGAACTTGAAGAAAAGAAGCCAAAAACAAGATCAAAAATTAGTTATTTATATAGCTTTCTGATTGTTTCCAACAGACTTGCAGTGTAAGTGTAAGCTTCATCAAAATATTACCTTTTTATTTATGGATGATCATTACACTTAATACAGGATTTGGGTGTGCCCTGCCCAGGATATTGTGAGGCAGTCTACACTGGCGTTCCTAGGGATCTACTGGCCCTCACCCTGGAACCCGACCAGGGTCCTCAGATCTGGCCACGGCTGGGTCCGAGGCAGATGCTGAGCAGGAACAACAAGTCTGGGAGAGGAAGGAGGTGGCCTCAAATGGAAATCACATGGAGAAAGATGAGATGTTAGAGCTATTTTCTAGCTGGCATCCGTAAAAGGTGATGGAGGAAACCTAGAGGAGGTCTGCGGAAGATGAGCGTCACCTGTGTCCTGGTGGAGAAGCTTTGGACCCCGAGGAAGAGGGCACATGGGGAGTTGGAGGAGGCACTGAGTGCCAAAGAAGTTGGGGAGTCGGGGAGGACTAAGTACTACATTTATCAAGACGACCCTTGGACCATGGTCCTCTTCCAGCTCCAGCTGCCTTGGGGGCAAAGCAGCCTGCTAGCACAGCTCTCTGCTTCCTGCCCAGGTGCCATGACCATCACCAGCAGCCTGTGATGAACCAAGGGGGCCCCGTGCCTACTCAACGATGACCCCAGAGGTGGAAAAGGCAGAAAGAGTGGCTGTGGCGTCTTCACCAGCCAGCTCTGGTGAGGTTTGAACCTTGTCTAGGCTATGAGAACATAAGCCATCATTCCTCCAAGCCCCCACCTCTTGTCCCTGTGAATGCCTCTTTTGAAAGAAACTAGAGACTTGCAGGACCCTGTGGAGTTAATTCAGGGCCTGGGTCAGACTGGGACTGTGCAGGAGCAAGTGCCATTAACTCTGCCCTTGAGTGAACCCCTGAGCCCGTTTGCTTCCCATCCTCCTCTCCCAATAAACAGCGTTGTTGCTGAGTCAGACTATGTAGAGTCAATGGAAACGAGAATGGAGGAGGGTTTGCCCATCAACCCTGCACTGGGTGGGAGCAGCAGGGTGCGCAGATATTTAATCAGACTTCAGGTTCCTCACCAAAATCTCTGTGCCTAGTTTTAATCGACTTAAAATGGTTTATTAAGTATTTGTGTTTAATTTCAAGTTTAATTTTTTGTTAAAAGGGAGGGTTTGGATTATTTTAAATGAGAGATAGGGAGGTGTAAGGGTTTATTTAAAAAATCAAAAGGGGACATGATGCCAAAAGGTTTACCAACCACTGTTTTAGACATCAGTTTCCTGTGGTATTATTTGTATGAACAGGAGCAGCTCTACCCATGAAGAGGAAAACTGGAGTCTCAAACCAAGATAACATTTGATAGATAGAAAAACTGCATTTTTATTAAGTTGCCTTATGTGAAATCCTTTCTATTTATCTGGGGGTAAACTGAGCAGACAGATTGAGCTGCCACACACATGTTGATCAGAGGGGCATCTTCTCATGTGTTTATAGAAAGATTTAAAATTTGGAAAAGGTCATTTAGTTGCAAGAGATTCAAAACACGAATAGCTGGCTTGCAATACCTTGTCATGATATGGGCCCAGCACAATCCATCCACAGAAACAATAGCCCAGATAAATCATAGCAGCACAACAGCAAAACCGGATGACATTGGGCAATGCTGCACGTAGTGTCAAAATAAGCAGCTAAAAGAAAAAGAAAGGCAACATAATTCCCAGGATCACCCATGAGACATCAGCCACACATTCAATACAGCTATTCAGCAATTTCAAAAAAACCACACAAGGAACATGAAGACCCTTACGTTGTACTTCTGAAAGAAGCCAAGGTAGCGAATCACTCCAAGCCACACAAGCATGGTGGAGGTTCCTAGAAGGATGCTGCAGACATCGTAGCTTGACAGACTCTATACAGAAGATAAAAACAAGGAAAGAGATTAGCCTGTGTTCAAAATGGGCTTCTTCCCATAGGCTTAACAATGCAACTATGATATAATTGCATGTGGGTGACAGGAACCACATTGTGTACGGCAGGGTGAAGGTGAAGGCAAGTAAGATATACTGGGACCAAATGTTTTTGAAGATCTTATCAAACTGAGTCCCAGAGATAACACTTGATATGTAGACTCCATTTCTGGCAAGCTGTTTTAGATAAGTCTGATCTTCTTTGTTTATCTGTTTCATTTATATCCTGCCTTTTCACCAATTAGTTCAAGACTGGGGCAATAGTTCTCTTCCCTACTGTATCCTTACAACAGCCCTGTAAGATTGAGTCAGGCTGAGAGACAGTGACTGGCCAGAGTACGCTGGTGGGGCATAGACTGAGCCTGAGGTGAGATAGCTGCCTAGAGTGGTTTGGTAGTCCAGATAGGCGGGGTATAAATCAAATATCTTAGTACACACGCTCGTAATCTCAAGATTAGACCACTGTAATGCGCTCTACGTGGGGCTTCCTTTGAGGTTGCTGCGGAAATTACAGGTGGTGCAGAATGCGGCGGCCAGATTACTCAGTGGAGTGAAAAAATTCCAACATATTTCGCCCACTCTGGCCGCATTGCATTGGCTGCCCATCAGGTTCCGCATCGACTTCAAAGTGTTAACGATTACGTATAAAGCCCTAAACGGTTTAGGGCCTCGATACCTGGGGTATAAATCAAATAAATAAATAAATAAGTAAAATAGCATTCCATTTGCCCTAATGGACCAGCCGTCATACCTTCTACTTGCCTGAGCATTTCGCCTAGACACAGACTCAGTTAGTAAGAAAATATAAAAACAGGATTATTCAGAATCATGTGAAGAGTGCATTTTTAAACACTTAAATAAGAAGAACAAAATACTAATAGCTGATTTAACAGAGATAATTTTGGAGCAGAGGAACAGGTTGGATTTCAATGTGTGCTTTTATTTTCTGTCAAGCATACCAACATCTTACCTTTGCCTGTATTTCCATCTTTAGTGTAGAACCAATTATGGTAAGAACATCACTGATTATGATCATGATATACCATCCATTGACAAACTCCATCTGCTCAGCAAAAGATATTTCTTTTTTGTGATGATGTTGGAAAAATGACACAAATTCCTGAAGCAGTTCGGTGGGAGAGGGGAAAAATTGTTGTTAAGTTGAAGTGACATCTCAAAGGAAACACTGATGAACTTAAACTCACCCTCTGTAAGCGAATTCCTTTAATTATAGATCGTGTGCAGAGAATCAGTGATGCTAGACATGTCAATATGACAAAGCCATCAAAGATCATCATGTAGTGGGTATTCTTCTGTACTGCAAAAGAAATTCCAAAATTTTGTTTATTTTGACATATATACTAGACATCTGGATTCCCTTCTAGAACTTATATGGATTCATATCCATTCACCTGTGTATCATCATTGTCGTCATCATCAAGGCTTTCCTTTACAGATTCCAAGCCAAGAAACATGGTCCTGCAACCTTTTTTTATGAGTGCTTTCCCTTTTCACTGGTCTGTTTCCATGTTCTCCAACCTGGGGGTCATGACCCCAAAAGGGGTTGTGAAGTGCTTTCTGAGGGATTGTGGGTCACCTTATATGTGATGTAGCCCTTGTTTAATAAATTCTTCCTTGACCTTTAACCTAAGATGACCTAAGGTTAAAAAAAGAGCAGGAAAGGTTTTTTTTCCTGTTCTTATCTTGGATTTCTGTTCTCAAGTAGAAGCAAAATTTAGCAAATGGAGCTGTTCTTAAGTTGAATTGTTCTTAAGTAGGAACGTTCTTAAGTAGAGACCCCACTGTATAAAAGGGGGTCATGGTTGGAAAATTGTTGGGAACCCTAGTATATTGATTGATAAAAACACAGAAGTTTTCCTGTGCCCCACAGTCACAATTTTAATACCGTAGGTGTAAAAACATTCGCTGCAATAATGCATTCATATCAGTAGGGTATGCTAGCTAGTGTACAAATTCAGCAGATCTACTTAATTTGGAGATCAGATCTATCCATTCTTAAATCAACCCAGAGTGTTCACTGGAAGGACGGCTCCTGAAGCTGAGGCTTCAATACTTTGGCCATCTCATGAGAAGAGAAGACTCCTTGGAAAAGACCTTGATGTTGGGAAAGTGTGAGGGCAAGAGGAGAAGGGGACGACAGAGGACGAGATGGTTGGACAGTGTCATCCAAGCTACCAACATGAATTTGACCAAACTCCAGGAGGCAGTGGAAGACACAAGGGCCTGGCGTGCTCTGGTCCATGGGGTCACGAAGAATCGGACACGACTTAACGACTGAACAACAAACAACACGCATAACTCATACACTTACATTCCTCATTGCATGTATACTGAATTTAGAGGCTGGCACCAAACAATCCAACATCTTTTCTGATCATTCAGACAGGAACAAGCCGGATTTAGGCTGGGAAGATCCACCATAGACCAGGGTCTTATCTTACAACACCTGGCATCTAAATACTCTGCCCGTAAAGGTAATGCTCTATATGCAGCCGTCATAGATTTCAAATCTGCTTTTGACCTCATACCAAGGGAACACCTGTGGTCTAAATTTGAGTCCACAAGTATCGATAAACGGCTTCTCTTGTTGATGTGGCGACTTCATGAAAATATTCCACCATAGACCAGGGTCTTATCTTACAACACCTGGCATCTAAATACTCTGCCCGTAAAGGTAATGCTCTATATGCAGCCGTCATAGATTTCAAATCTGCTTTTGACCTCATACCAAGGGAACACCTGTGGTCTAAATTTGAGTCCACAAGTATCGATAAACGGCTTCTCTTGTTGATGTGGCGACTTCATGAAAATATGCATTTGCAGGTTCTTTGTAACTCCAGAGTGTTCACTGGAAGGACGGATCATGAAGCTGAGGCTTCAATACTTTGGCCATCTCATGAGAAGAGAAGACTCCCTGGAAAAAACCCTGATGTTGGAAAAGTGTGAGGGCAAGAGGAGAAGGGGATGACAGAGGACGAGATGGTTGGACAGTGTCATCCAAGCTACCAACATGAATTTGACCCAACTCCGGGAGGCAGTGGAAGACAGGAGGGCCTGGTGTGTTCTGGTCCATGGGGTCACGAAGAGTCGGACACGACTAAACAACTACTTAATTTTATTTCAAAATATAAAGTTCCATTTTTTCCAAATCCAATAATCCTGCACTTTGCAATTACCTCTGGAAAGTAACACTCTTTTTAAGTTTTCTGCTTTTCAAATAGCACAGTTCTTAAGTGCCCCAAGTGTCATTTTTAAGTAGTTGGCTGGATTCTGGAATCTACTTCATATGTTAACCTGAGTCTGTTCAGTGAGGACTAACATTCTGTTATAATTTTGGTGAAGCTACTGCATAACCCAAACATGGTTGCCATAGCCACATATTACCATATCTCTCTGAGACAGAGGGCCTGCTTCTAAATTGCAACAAATCTAATCATTGCAGTTAGATGGTGACTTAGATGTTTTGCTCTGGTGCCAGGATCCATTTTGTCAAAACCAAACAATCCTGAATTATCAAGGTGAACTTGACCCTGTGGAAAGGAGGCACTTTTCTCTGAAGTCTTTTGTGTGCCCAAGTAGAGATGTTGTGAAATGGGCACTTTTCTATCATGCAATGTTTTCCTTTTGTTTCTAAAATGCAGATTGCATCAGCTGCAAGGGTGGTGGTAATCAATCGAGTCAGTATGGCCAGATAGGAAGGTTTTAATCCTCCCTTCCCCTTGCTGAAGTTCTGAGGAAAACCCCTTTTCTTAAGGTGGTATTTGCTCTGTATATGTGTGTGTGTGTGTGTGTGGTGTGGTGTGGTGTGGTGTGGTGTGGTGTGGTGTGGTGTGTGTGTGTGTGTGTGTGTAATTTCTACCCACAAGATCACAGCAAAGAAGGAAAGAAATTCTTTCTCCATTATAGAATTAAGGTGTCTGAGGAAGTGGACTTTTCCACAAAAGCTCACTTTAAAATACAGTAGTTACTCTTTTAAGGTGCTATGTCTGTGCGTCTTATGGAGCGAAGAAAACAGATTATATTGGTACTCTTTTAAAGTGCTATGTTTTTCTTTGCCTGACATGCTAGCACAGACTGACCCAGTTACCTCTTCTAAACTTAATTATCAACTGGAGCAGTTTCAATATGTATGTATGTATGTATGTATGTATGTATGTATGTATGTATGTATGTATGTATGTATGTATGTATGTATGTATGTATGTATGTATGTATGTATGTATGTATGTATGTATG